CTACATCTAATGCCCTGCCAAGCCACATCTTTGTATTAGTGCATACAGGGAAAATCTGGTGAAGTGTCCCATAATGCCATAGCAAAGGACAGAGTTCAAAGCGGGACTTGTGTTCCTAAGTCACTCTGGTGCTTTTGGCCATCTATCCAGGTTGCCCAGATGGTATGTACACAGAGTGATGCCAGCAGTACTTTAACCCATGTATGCTCAGATGTCCTGCTGAAAAGAATGCTGGTAAAAGGAGTAGCAGCCAGTGACACAAACGGGGTTAATGAATCCTGTCTGCACTGAACCATTTACAGTGAGACAAATGTGTGCCAGCCCATGCCTCAGGCAGAGGCAAAACACTATTAGCTGACCACAATTAGTAAGCGTTTGAACCATGTTGTGTGTGGACACCCCGCACGCGTATAGCCAACCATGACAATAGCTAGTTACAAACATCAAAAGCTGATGTGTGAGCAATGCCTCACTTACACCTCTGCAACACCATTGACTCATAGACTTTAAAGTCAGAAGGGACCATTATGATCATCTAGTCTGACCTCCTGCACAATGCAGGCCACAGAATCTCACCCACCCACTCCTGTAACAAACCCCTAACCTATGTGTGAGTTATTGAAGTCCTCAAATCGTGGTTTAAAGACCTCAAGGTGCAGAGAATCCTCCAGCAAGTGACCCATGCCCCACGCTGCAGAGGAAGGCGAAAAACCTCCAGGACCTCTGCCAATCTGCCCTGGAGGAAAATTCCTTCCCGACCCCAAATATGGCGATCACTTAAACCCTGAGCATGTGGGCAAGACTCACCAGCCAGCACCCAGGAAAGAATTCTCTGTAGTAACTCAGATCCCACCCCATCTATCATCCCGTCACAGACCATTGGGCATATTTACCTGCTAATAATCAAAGATCAATTAATTGCCCAAAGTAGGCTATCCCATCATACCATCCCCTCCATAAATGTATCAAGCTTAGTCTTGAAGCCAGATACGTCTTTTGCCCCCACTACTCCCCTGGGAAGGCTGTTCCAGAACTTCACTCCTCTAATGGTTAGAAACCTTCGTCTAATTTCAAGTCTAAACTTCCTAGTGATTGCCTTCAATTTATGTCCTTGGTAACATCTGTGCTGTGCTGCACTATTGCCTTGAAGGAGTTTGCACAGGTGTAACTGACCAGAATGCTGCAAGCAGCTCCTTTGAAGGTGCATATACAGGAAAGGAATCCAGCTCTCTTGCGCTCTCTCTTAGGACTTTTATCACTAAAAGCAAACAGATATGACTGGAGCATAGTCAGAGACCAGCTCTTAGGGGTAAAAACTTGCCATGTTTCAGAGGAGAACAACAATTTAAAGCCCAGCTGGAGAAGTGATCAGAATGATACAAATGACATTGAGTAGACTTTATAGCTGGTGGAGGAAAGTGTTATTTATAGTAACTCATCATTCCATTCCTGGGTGTGCTTGAAATAATAAGAAGGTCTGTTGACAGGCATATTGAGCCCTGGTGAACTTGGACACATTTTAATTTAAACAAGTGAAAAAAACATTGCCCCATAGCATTGCTGGCTAAGCAGCAACCAGCACAGGGAGTTTCAATTTTTAGGAAACATAATGCCCTCAAAGCTTGATGGAGTAGAAATTTATTAATAAGAGTCAATACATATCAGGAATCTGATTTTTCTGCCTGTTGTAGATTGATAGATTGTCTCTCCGTCTTCATATTCATTAGTTCATATAATCTAAATGTGTGTATGTGCTTGTATATATGTGTATACTATAAAATGGACCAGTAGACAAAATGTATTAGGAGCTCCATGGTGCTAGTTGGGTCATTTGATTTCAGGATTCCTCCCGGTACTGCTGTTGGGTTTGAGTGCATTCATGCTCAATTGATTAAAGATGGGGTCCACATTATAAAAATAGTTTCTGACCTACTGCTCTAGATATCTGTCCCACTCCTGTCCGATTGCAGGAGTGGGCTGATAAAATTTGCGGATGATA